GGGCTGTGACTGTCAATTAGTATATCCCTCTATAGTGTCTAGCACAACGGATGCTACTGTGATATATATAAAATAATAGCAGCACCCACTGCTAGAGATACGCAGATCAAAAGACAGAAAGCAATATGCCACATGTCATTCTGACTGGGTCAGGGTCAGTGTTCGGTAGTGAAAACAAAATCCATAGCAATTTATGGTATCCACACTGCTCTGTATGTGGATCCATTATATTCATAATGCATGACACTTATTTTTCTTCACAACATCATATTTTTACTTGTAAGCTGAGAAAATATGACCTGGAATCTTTAAGACACAATTAAGATGGAAATGCATGATAAGATGTGCACAGAGGAGACTAATTAAACTGGCACAAGTCAGACATTTTTCCTGCTGGACTGCAACACACTGTCTTCCAACAGTGGCCAATGCCAGGTGCTTCTGAGGGAATGAAAGAACAGGTAACCATCAAGTGATCCATCCCCTGTTGCTCATTCCCAATTTCTGGCAAACAGAACTAGATAGGGGCAAACCCATAAAGTGGGACAATGGCCACTGAGTTGCTGTTGGGGAAGGGTGAACCAACGTGGGTGGGATAAAAACTGACTTCACCATCACAAAAACCAGAAGACAAAGAAAAAGAACCTTCCATTTATTATTTGAAATCATGATTTTTGTGGGCTGATACATGATCTTTGAATGTTTGGTGAGTGAATTACTGCAAAAATCTCAAACTGACTCCAGACCAAAGTGTGATTAAAGTTAACATAAGAACAGCCATACAGGGTCAGACCAAAGTTCCATCTAACCCAGTAAGGTGAGGAGTTATTTAAAAACTCTTCTACAAAATGTTCTTCTGAACCCCGAAGGGCCAGCCAAATTGCCAGGTCAATATTAGGCTGGATCGTACCCAAAATACCACACTGCCAGCAAAACCTTTAGCATCTAAAACTAAAGGTTTATTATAAAGAAAAAAACAAGAACAAGAACAAGGGCTGTTAAATGGTAAAGCAGTCACATACATATAAAGCCTTCAAAGTCCATATATCAGATTCTTAGCAGTATTGGTGAGTTTGCCAGTTTGAAAGTCCCTCTGGAAGACATTCATAGCTTGGATGGGTCATTCAGTCCTTTTTCCAGAGCTTTGTTTGTAGAAAAGTTACTCCAGAAGCAAGAAGCAGGATTGAAGACAAAATGGAGATGATGCAGCTGCCTTTTATAGTCTTTTCCCCATGCAGCTTGTATTTCCTTTGTTCCAAACACAGGCTGCCCAGCACATGGCCTGGAATCCTTAGAGTTCTGTCCATAGGCATGTCCCTGCATGCCCTGCTGAGTCATAAGGTGTAGCCCCAATGGGTTCGTTGTACAGTTGATGTCCCTTGATGGGCCATCAAGCAGGCTAGGCAGTGCTGATGCCAATCTGTCTGGGAGTGTCATCCAGATGCACAGAACAAGTATGAAATACAGATATACTCTACATATCTATAACTTATAATACAAACATATAAACAAAATTATCATACTTGGTGAATTGTAACATTTCCGCAGATACCTTACACAGCATATCTTCTCAGATTCCTTGCAATTTTATAATATTGGTGTCAACAATATCATAAAGTGTCTCATATATTCCATAAAAAGAACAGGAGTACTTGTGGCACCTTAGAGACTAACAGCCGAAGAAGTGGGCTGTAGCCCACGAAAGCTTATGCTCTAATTAATTTGTTAGTCTCTAAGGTGCCACAAGTACTCCTGTTCTTTTTGCGGATACAGACTAACACGGCTGCTACTCTGAAACCTGTCATATATTCCATACAATGTCACATTGTTAACGTAACAAATAACTAAAATAGCAATGACTTATTGCAATGCTATTTTACCTTGAATGTGTAGAATTATATTATGCAGGTCCCATTGACATGTGCAGAGACTGTATAAATGCTGTCTGAGGTAAGATTTATGTGAAGCTATAAAGTGAACTCTAATTTTTAAATAAAATTAAGAAATGTTGGTGAATTCTAGAGAGCTTAGAAAAATTCTTGCTTCTACTTTGTCTTCCTTTTCTCCAACACATAAATAAGACTAGGAAAAACGGTTAGGACTATCTCTTCTTAAGTCGATATACATTTTTTTTGGTAAAGTTAATAGCCATACCACCAGCCTATGGAATTTGACTAATGAAGCGAACATTTCAGGAAACACATATTCTACCTTTGGCAGTAAGCAAATTCTGGACCATTTTCAAATAATTCAAGATACGTGTCACTACAAAAAAAATTAGCATTCAGTTAGGAACATTAACACCAAATTCTTTATAAACTTTTTCAATACAAGAATCTAACAGCTACTGAAGAAAAAGAGACCAAATATCTATGACTTGCAAGATCTGGGACACTGACAACCCTAACATAAGAAAACCCTAGAGAACAGCTAGTGACAGGTGAACCTCAGATGGTTTGCAGGTATGATTTGGATACATATCTATACCTCATTAACCTAAACACTGGGCTGGAAATCTAGTGAGAAAAGGCTCTCTCAGGAGATTAGGAAAATGTATCCATGTCTTACCTGAAAATTTCTTTTCTTGAAGTAATGAGGTCGACAGATCCATGACATTGGGTACTCTGCTCTGTGCAGCCTTAGAGGCAGACCAGAACTGTCAGTCAGAGGCATGGGAGATGAGGCTCCACCTCTGCGAAATGGCCAGGTAAGACACTTCCATAGCGTAGGCAAAACTACTCAAATAGTAGTTATCAATGATCTGCTGTCAAACTGGGAGGGCATATCTATAGCGGGGTCCTGCGGGATCCAGTATTTTCATTAATGACTTGGATAATGGAATGGAGAGTATGCTTATAAAATCCGCAGATGACACAAAACAGGGAGGGACAGGAATAGAATTCAAAACTTTTGAGGACAGGAATAGAATTCAAAACAATCTTGACAAATTAAAGAATTGGTTTGAATTCAGCAAGATGAAATTCAACAAAGACAAGAGCAAAATACTTCACTTAGAAGGAAAAATCAAATGCACAACTACAACATAGGGAATAACTAGCTAGGTGGTAGTACTGCTGAAAAGGATCTGAGGGATACAGTGGATCACAACTTGAATAAAACTCAACAATGTGATACAGCTGCCAAAAAGGCTAATATTATTCTGGGATGTATTAACATGAGTGTTGCATGTAAGGCCTCTCGGGTAATTGTTCCACTCTACCCAGCACTGGTGAGGCCTCAGCTGAAGTACTGTGTCCAATTTTGGGTGTCACACTTTAGGAAAGACATGGACAAACTGGAGAGAATCCAGAAGAAAGCAACAAAAATGATAAAAGGTTAAGAAAACCTGACCTATGAGGAAAGGTCAAAAATTGGGCATATGTAGTCTTGAGAAAAAAAGATTGAGCGGGGACCTGAAAACAGTTTTCAAATATGTTAAGGGCTCTTATAAAAAGGATGCTAGAAACCCTGCCCCTGCCTGAGCATTTGAGAAAGACCAGGGTCTCCACAAACAGACACTGATCTCCATGCGGGCAGGTACTCAGTGAGGGAGGTGCAGGAGACGCAGCAGCTGGCTTTCCCTCTCTTAGCCTTCTCTGCCATGCTGCACTCTCTGTGGGTTAGCAAGGACAGAGTCCTGGTGACTGAGGAGAAAAGGAATCCTCCTTACCAACAATGGCAGACTCTGACAGCCTGAAGATTTTAAGCCTCCCCTGTTCTTTTCCCCCCATCTTGTTCATAATTGCTCTGCAGTGGGGAGGAGCTGGAGAGACAGATGAAATCCGGCAGTTTGTCAGAGGTAGAGCCACACCTCTCCTGCCACTGATTGACAGGTTTGGGCTGCCTCCAAGGCTGCATAGAGCAGAGTACCCCAACATCATGGATCTGTGGACCTCATTACAAATAAAAATTCCATTCTTTCCTATAGTATCTGCCCTCTTAGAAGAGACATTGGTCCATCAAACCTGGTTTCCAGTCCCTAGCCATGGCCAATATCTGGTACTTCAGTAGAAGGGGCTGGGGGGAGAGATGAGAAGGGGGAGCAGTGCATCCGGTCAAGTGTGGAATGCTCTTTATGGTTACAGCAGGATGGGTAAAGGCTAAGGCTAGAAGGGGAGGGAGTTCCATCTTAATCCTAGCAGTGATCAGCCTTGAACCATAACATTTAATTATCCTTATGGCTCCCTGTATACCAACAGATGTTATTAACAGTAATAAAATTATCATCCCTTTCCAAACTCAAGATGCAGTAACACAGGAATATAGGAACTGCCTGACTGAACCAGACCCATGATCCATCCAGCCCAGAAGCTTGTCTCCAACAGGAGCCAGCACCCAGATGCTTCAGAGGAAGATTCATGAAATTCCACAGTAGGCACATGTAGAATAATCTATGGTTCCCTGCTCCCTGCAAAGATCTCATTCTAATCCCTAGTAAAGGTTGGTTTAAACCATGAAGAATGAAGTTTTATATCCCTTCCAAAAAATTTTTTAGCCTATCAGTACTTGACTGTGACCACTTATGGCAGTGAATTCCAGGCTGATTATATGTTATTAAATTTATAAATATATAAATACAGCATGGTTGGTGAATGCAGAACCAAAAAATATCATCAACTTACCTCTCGTTCTTGCAATACAGGACAAGGTAAAAAGGAGGGACTGGTCAAGTTTAACTCAGTGTAATTCTGAATATCTCAAGTTCTCTCAGGTGACATTATTCTAGGCTTTGTGGTTTCTCATTACATGCAATTCCCACCAGACCACTATCCAATTCTTTGTTTTGGCTGTCTTGTAAATACCAGAAGAACAGTTTCCCTGGCAGTACTAAGAACAGTTTCCCTGGCAGTACTTTGTTAATACATTTCTAACCAAAACCAGACGAGAAGAGATGCATTAAAAAGAGAGTTAACTTTTCTATCAACCACATAAAAGTTCCACTGAAGCTTGAATGAACATTTGGCTTGGTTGTTATCCAGCGGCTTCAAGTCAATGCTTACCTTACAAATCATCAAGGTCTTGGCCCCAAGTCGAGCAGCCTGGATGCACTGATTGGCTCCTTTCCCCCCAAAACCAATGAAAAACTTATGTCCATGGATAGTTTCTCCAGCTTTTGGCAGACGAGTGGTAAGGCTATTGCAATTTTAAAAAAAATATTTACATATATTAGTAACTGATAGGTCAAGAGTTGTAAAAATAAGAGTTACATTGATACAATCTTAAGTGGCACCAATGTTCAAGTTGATGCTACAGCAGGAGGTAGTGATGAGTTAGCCTTTCATTCAATAAATCACAAAAACTGACAATATGCGAGACCTGTTAGGTTATCTAGTTCATCCAGTACCCATGCCAGGTTGTTTCCTATCATATTTTATGAATGCTTTGTCCAATCTAGTTTTAGAAGTGCTAAGCAAAGGAGGAACTGTTTTTTTGTCACAAGTTTGTACATCACCTAGGACAATGAGGTCCTGGTCCATGACTGGGAACCCCTAGGAGATACTACCATATAAATAAATAAATAAATAAATAAAACAACAGCTCTCACTGTTAGGAAGTTTTACCCTGATATTCAGCCTAAATTTTCATATTGTTAATTTCATCTCATTACAGCTAATTATACCTCCTTTGACTACCCTAGAGTAATTTTTCTCTCACATTGGTATTTATACCCTTCAGAGAGTTATAGATCATTACCATGTCTGACCACCTCTTAGCTGCCATCCAGACATGCTGTACATATTTATTTCTTTTAATCTTTCTTTGTAAATTACGCTTTCCAGCCACCTAATCATTTTGTTCTTCTTTGCATTCCCTCCAGTTACATCTACATCTTCATGGGACTGGGTGCCCTGAACTGAATGCACTAGTACAGGTGCAGATTCACCAGAGTTATATTCAAGATAGTCTGGAATCATTCTATTTTGAAAAGATGTATTTTGTTAACCCTAGCAGATTTTTTGAATACTCCAAGAAAACAAATGAATAAATCACCTCTATTCTTGTGTAAAAATTTCACCTGAATTCATAGGGCTAGTCTCCCTATGTCCGTTGTATTCATAATAAATACAGTCTACAGAGGTTATCCTATACCATGGCAGAGCAGCATTTGGTCATATTATTACCCAAAATTCTGCTTCTTTGTGGCAGTGAATACCAAACACAAGGTTCAAAAATTAGAATACATTTTACCTCCTAGACTACCACAAATGCAACAAACCCAGCACCTGTTGGGAGAGCATGCCTTTTGTCACTCAAAAGCAACTCATTCAGGTACCTAAACACTTGCACTGACAAGCTCCAAAAGATGGTTTGAAGGCTGGTGGCAAAAAGATTCTCAGAGGGGAAGCTATGAAGTAGGGAAAGGGGAAGGTTCAGAGCTTTTGCAAGGATACAGTGGAGCCTTCCCCAAGGAGGAGCAGAATACCTGGGGCTGTTTGTAATTACAGAGCATTAAAGCATGTTCAGCCAAGTAGCTCTCACCACTGGCTGAACATCCCTAACCCTTTCGTCTGGAAGGAAGTTGAAATGGGACAGCTCTGTACTAATGGATCACTCCTAAATACCTGTTGTGAAGGACATGGAAACTGCCTGCAATAGGTTAAATATTGTATTTTCTTTGAGTGTTATTGTGTTGTTTGCTATATGATTCCAAAGGATTAATTCCTGCAAGAGCTAAAGGCATGTGAGCAGGAAAGCAGATAATAGCTTCTGATGGTCCTATTTACCAATACTTAAAAGACAATGCAGGTGTCATTCATGTTAAGTTTAATCTCTGACCATGCTGAATTCGACCTCTGGCTTGTAACCGTATGAATAAATATGAATACCATATATGGGTAGAGGGGATCCAGGTGGGAAAATGAAACAAAGAACTTTGTGGTGGATAAAAAGACAGTCCCTGAAAGACATGAGAGAGAGAGAGAGAGAGAGACTGAATCTCCAGTCCCCAAAGGTTGGGATGTCTAGGATATACCAGGCCTACTTAAACCTTTAGGCAAGAATCAGATGTGTGTAGACCTTATGATGTCAAACCTTCATTTCTCTTGCCATGTTGTGCTCCCACTGCTATGATTAAACAATACCCTGTTTTGAAAAGGCTTTTTGTCATCTCTGTGTTCAACACTGGTCAAAGCTCAAGCAGGGCAGACTTGCAGGCAGCCAATCCCTGTTGGGCATGCTGGGCAATCATGGTTGGTACACAGGATACTGGAGCCATGGGCCCGGTCTAGGAGTGACAGAATCATGGTATTCAAACCTGAAAGAGTTGAAGGAACAGGGCTCATCATCTATGCAGATGCACTTGGAGAGACCAGAGAGGGATCAAAGGTGTACCTAGTCCTGAACTGTGACACTTGTTTCCAAGGAGATGGGGGTGGAAAGACAGGGTGAAGAAGTGGAAGGGTTCCAGTTATTTTAAACAAAAATACATAGATTTTTTAAAAATCAATCAACAGATGGGTTATGAAGTGCTGAAATAAAGTCAGCATTTACAAATGATTGCCACCCAGAGGCATGTGACATTCTGCAGTGTTTTCCTATACTGCGAAGAGGGGATAACTGCAAGACCTCAAATACCATTGTGTAGTTAATGTGGGTGCATGCTGACTTTTAATGGCAACCATTACAATTGACTGCTACTTGCACTAATTCATGTGTCATCAGAACAATGCCTTGTAGGGAACCAAAATATTGATGGCTGTGGAACTGAGCACGTCTGTGTTTTGCAGCTTTCAAAAGACTCCCGTTGTGACATCATCATAGGTAAGTGCAGGCAACCTTCTAAAGCTATATGTCATTTCACAATGAACAGTCATTTCACTCAACTTTGAAATTAGATCAAGAAAGCGTGTATCCACTGCTAATTCACTTTCATTCCTGAAGACTTTTCCAGGAGACTAGGATTTATTCTAGATATGATTAGGCTCAACAAAAGCTATGATATATTTAAACAAAGGTCTGTAACCACAGTTTCCCAACAGAAGTTAGTTAGTAGCCCTGCTCTCTGAGTTCATTCACACTTTCCAAGAAGCAGACTTCCATATATATTCTTGATTTAACAGTGAACAGAGCTGTTCTTCTCAGTCACACTGGTCTAAATCAGAAGTAACTCACATTTAAGTCAATAGAACTAAACTTGTGTGAAACCAGGGTAAGTAAGATGAGAATCCAGGCCTCAGTGTTTAAAGCAGCATAGCATAACTAGTGCCTGTGGGAAGCAACCAGCTTGCTTAATATGGGAAGATGACCTTTGTTGTTGTTGATGAGAATGTGCAACATGAAGACCAAAGATCAAGCTAGAACAGTGAATTACAATTATGCAATTTTACAAATAGTCCAAGCAAATTAGGCAAAAATATTCAGCTAGTTCTAAGTAATTCACTATAAAAAACTGATTTGACTTCAAAGAATTATATCTGATCATTTAGGACACTTCTCCACTTCAATCCTATTATTAAACACATTCACAGTACTGCTCTATATATATAGATCTGGAGGTTTCACTTTTACTGAAACAGGTATTCAATCAAAAGAAACATTGTTCTAATGTAATGCTATTATCTTGTCATTTAATTCTGCAATGATAAGTGAATACTAGATTTTGATTATCATCAGACAATCTTAACATGCAATTCAGGCTTCTGTTATGAACAGGCAATGATGAGTAATCTGTATGATTAAGGAACCATATGAGTTCTTAGGTTATTGATGGTGCCACAAAGAGTACTCATAATACCTTAAAAATGATGAAACAGCTAATGTTACTAAAAAACTAGGCTAAACAAGTTAATTAGAAAAACTATTACACCAACTTTCAGAATGGTTATATACAATGTTTTGTAACGCAATTTACAACTTTGACGTAACTTGAAAACATTAAGCTAGATAGCAAATGGATTTAAGTGGAAAACTGAACAACCTACATCTTAGCTTATGGAGCAATTACTGCTCAATTCTATGAAGAATAAATGCTATATATTGCACAGCAACTACATACTGAAACCTTACATGCCACAGATAACAATGTCCAGTTCTGACATATTTCCCCATTCAATAAAATAAAATTGTAAAATACATAACACGTGTTTTGCAAATTGTGTGCTTAATAATTATATTATTTCACATTTATGGAGCACCAAGATCCCGAAATGCTTTACACGCAACAAGTAGAGGAATCAGTAAACTTATCACTGAAATACAATCTGTTCTTGGACAAGATGCAGCGGGTGTTTAATGGTGTACAAGAACAATTCAGTTTTGGACAGGAAATGAAGAATACCATATCGAATTGAAACTTCAGAGGATTTAGTTAGGCAGAATGAAAGTACATAAATTAGAATTTCTCTTCTACTATGTAAGGTTCCATGACGTCTTAAAAGGTATGAATGGTTAGCATTTAAAAAAAATAAATAAACATCCCAGGAAAGATGGTATTGCGAACACTACCTCAATACCTTGCTGGGGGCACTGGTTCAACACTGTCTCATAGGGAAAAGTTCTACCTGTTGAGTCATTAATGCCACTTTCCATGATATTCTGGATTTTCGTTGAAGAGCTCCCATCCAAATAGTGGTCAGACCATAGCCAAAGATAGAAAGACTAAGGAGTGGGGGGGTGGCGGGGAAGCCATGCTTGCATAGATCCGTTTTTAAATTAATCAAGCTGTAAGGTTTTACTTCTAAATAAAGCTTGAAAATTAATTTGCTAATGTCTGCTCAGGGCTTTTAATGTGTAAAGTAATACAAGTGCTACATATTAAGTATTATCAAACAAATACAGTATATATACATTTTACTTTTAAAATTACATGTTCTTAATAGGCAATTTAGAGGGGAATGAGAGAATTTTCATGTCCACTTAGATACATCATTATTTAAAGTGAACACCAATTACACTATAAGTCAAAAAAATCCAAACATTCTTCTTGAACCACAAAGTGAGTAGAATTTGACATAGCTAGTCATCTGGCATGTTGATATTCCTGCTTATTTTGTCAAACGTTATTGTCTCATTTCTTCACTCTGCTTCTCCTTCTGTTTGTTGTAATTACTTACTGTCTGCGATGTTGTACTTTGTATGTACGTATTTTGGGGCAGGAGAGCCATGCTACTTTATTATACATTTGTGCAGTGCCT